TGATGTGTGAAATGAGACACCTTTGCAGATTGGCAGTGCACAAAGAGGATGAAGAAAATGACATGTAATTATTACTGTGCTATTAGCTGTGATAGTCAACTTACACAAAGACAGAAAAGTTCAATAAATCCAAAAGCTTTAGATTTGCTTTAAAAAGAATAAACTGCTTGGAAATTTCTTTCTAATAAATTTCAACAGAATGTTCTTCCGGAAGAGAGAAGGGTCCAAAGGAAGAAAGGGAGACATTTTAAATTAGTTGACTCGTTTTAAAGTTCACTCCCTCCTTTTTCTTTACTTGGAAAAATGCAAACACCTTTTAGGAGCATTAACCTTAAATACTGGGGGGTGAGAAGGAGAGAAGCTAGGACAATACTGAAGTTTTGGGAGGATTCTGGATCTACCTCTATCTGCCAAAATAATGGATAGTGTTGTTGCTCTTACAGGCAGAAATGAAAACAAAGTACGTCTGCCAAAAGGTGGATTAAGAATTAGTTAAGAATATTTATTTAATTTTATGAATTTGGGTTTTGTGGCAAATTATAAAGCATAATCTGAGAAACAAGCTGTTGGCAAAACATCTTAAATATAACTGAAGAAAGTGCATGCACCGGTGTCTGTCATCAATCCTGTAAGCTTCTAAGAGGTGGTTTCAATAAATTCAGAAAACCCTTACATATTTTGAGACAGATATGTCAGGAAAATCAGAATCCCTCCAGTTCTGAAAGATGAACAGTATTATTTATATATGAAATGTTTTGAAATGAAGTTACATGTGCAGTGAAAACTGAAGAATATTAATCCTAAGTGTTTTGTCTGCTATGTGGCAAATAGATTTTTTCACCTTTCCATTGGATGCTTTTCTTCATTTTGTTTAATAGATAAATGCATAATAAAAGTGCAAATTCTGCATGATAATTTTATTAAGAAAATAAAAGATCTGCTACATAGCATCAATGTACACAATTTCAATCAAGAGCTGGCTAGCAGATCATCAAAAGATACATTAAAAAGAAAATTAATATTGAATTGTTTCTAATTGTATCCAGCAGGCATCTTTTCTAGGCCCAGTGCTATTCAGTATTCCCAGCAGTGACCCAGAGGTGCAGGTACAAATTACCACGCTGAGGATCTGAGGATGTCTGAAAGATTACTCGGTGAGTACATAATTATGAAACCAAGGAATAGAGGATCTCTTTATCAGATAGGTCCATTGCAAGAAATGAGAGTTAATACAAATGGATTTCACACCCCAAAAATGGGGTTCAGTGACAAGGAGTGCCTCGACTCTACAAGGTTTTAGGGGCCATAGTGGACCAGCAACCCAACATGAGCTCCCACCGTGAAGCTGCAAGAACAGAGAATGTAATGCTTGAATCCTGACACAGCTGTTGGAATAATTCCCACAGATCTGTTGTCCATATTTTAATGACAATGGTGGGAAAAAAAACGGAGACTTCAAAAAATTGCATTTAAAATTAATTTGAGAACAGAAGAAAAATATTTGCTGTGAAAACATAAACTCAATGTCTTTGTTATCAAAGAGGAGGGCTGAGTATGACTTGATTAAAGTTTATAGATCATGGGAGAAAACCCTCTCATGCAGATTCTTTATCCTGAAGGGGAATGTAACAACCACCCAACCACTTCTACTATCACCCCAAATAAACAAACAAACAAATAAACATTACTGAAAAATCAGAAACAAAATAATTTTTTACTAATGAAAATAAACTTGAGATATATTGCCCAAAAATGAGGAATCATGCCTATTGGCAGATCTTCAAATCATGATACAGGTTAAAATTTCATCATAAAATACCTATTCCTTAGTAAAATTAAATTTTTATTTGACTTCATACCAAATGAATGAAATGGATAAAATTTTAAGGTCTTAAATATGCCCACAAACTAGCTGAGGTTGGATTTCAGAAATCTAAAACACAATAGAAGAAGTAAGAAATAAAATAGAGATAAATTAGAATGATCTATTCAAAATTGCATTGCCTGAAGATCTGTGGCCTGACTTGAGACTTCTGTTATAATTCTAAGTGAGGATCTCTGACTCTAAACCATATGCTCTGCTGTGGTATGTATTGCACAACTATGGAAAATGTCTTAATGTAGGTATTTTTCATTCACATAAAATTGTCTGTAAGAATTTATATCCCAGCTGGTATGATGTTATACAGAAACAATATCATGTGTTGTTCTGCAAGTTGTGCATATGTTTAGTTTCTGAGGCCAAAAATCAGGATGTGGTTTGAAGAAAAGTGGGAGGAGTCAACTAGTAAAAGTGTTATACCATATGACAACCTCAAAAAAAAAAAAAAAAAGAGCATATCAGTTGGGAAAATATATAGCAGAAGCAGAGACTGCCTTTAATGCAATAACCAGTGATCTGCTGTGCACATGTGCACATTCTCATACCACTGGAGTTTTAAAAGTATAGCATTGCAACCTGTTGTTTGCATAGTTGGAACATCTGTAACGATACAGCAAAAATCACTTTTTTGTGATGCAATCTAATACATTGTGCCTGCATTAATAGTTATGAATGTCAGTATATTAGATACACACAGAATATTTAAGACTTTTCATTTATTAGATATTAGATATTTATTATTCTTATTGGTTTTGTTATTGTTATTATTATTTATTATATGGCTTTCATGTCTAAGAAAAGAATGGTCATGTCCCGCTGTAGACAAGTATACTTGTAGGTTTGCTGTTGATCTAGTGAGGCTTCTGAGTAATTTTCTGCTGGAGAGTAATGGTCTGCAAGTCAACTTAGTGGTTTTTAAGAGTATCAGAATGGTAGCACTCACAATTTGGAAAGTGCCCAACCTGTAAATGATTTAACATGCTTTGTCCTCAGGTGAGTCATGCATCTCCTAAAGACCAAAAATGCTTTACTGACAGACCTAATATAAACAATTGGAAACATTTTTTGATCCTTAAATTAACATACTAGGTCTCCTTGTGTATTTAGCTTGGGTTAGAGATTCAAAGTGCAGTGAAAGTAAACAGCTTCAATCTCAGTAGCACACATAATATATTAATTTTAAAAATGAAAATGTCTTCAGAACTAGTTTATATACATCTACTCTTGATATATAAACCTGTTGAAATAGTGGGAAAAACAGGCTTTAAGGAAATCACGGGATTTGTAGCTCCCTGACTGTTTTATCTATTTATTTTTGAAATGTATAGAAATTTTCAGGTTCCATATGGACATGTTTAGTCACCTAAATTTCTCTATTATATTCAATCAGGTTTTCACTATTTTTTTAAATTTTATATTTTCTGTATGATTAATGAAAGCAAATAATCACCAGATAGAATGGAATTCTGCTTCTTGAACTATGCAAGTAATGCAGTTAAAGTAACTTGAAATAACAACATACACAAATTAGTCATTTTCACAATTAAAACATAAGCCCTAAAGATGCTCCTATTTATTTAAATCACTCTGGGTTTAATTAAAGACGGATTAAAAAATTTTATCAAAGGTTAATCTCTTTTTGAGTTTTAATTCACCAACAATTATAACACATCCATTTTTATCATACACTAATTATGGTTTCTTCTGTTATAGTGGAGCCTGGTACATTTGGTGGCATCTTGTGAGCATGGCAGTGATAAATGACAAGCATTCCATAAACCTGTGCTTCAGCTGCGAGCTGGCACTTACCACTGGCAAAATTGCACGTAATAGACACTATTGTCCCTTCACTGATAACCTAAAGAGAAGAATGTCGCATTCTTACTTTTGATCTTATGATAAAACATCTTAATTCTGTATCTGGTTTGTTAATTGCCTTTCCTACCCTAGATGCTGAAAGTTTCAGACAGGAGTCAAATTATGGGGCTTTTAATGATTCTAGCCTTATAAACTTGGGCCCTTGTTCCAGGCCAGAACACATTTCAAGAGCACAGAGCTAGACTCAGGGTCAAGGTACAGGATATGCCAGAGGACAAATCTGCACAGTCCCATTGCTTAGCTCTGTGGTCACAACCAGCCACACTAGAGCAGAGCTAAAGGCTGGCAATGTGGGGCAGGGGTCAGGAGACACACCACCCTAGGCGTACTCCTTACCCACTCTCAGAATAAACATGATTAGTACTGCCAGAATAAACTGTGGAGAGGCCATTTGCTTGTTGTATTTTATATTTACATAGGTTTTCTACAGATTCCACTGATTTCCTGTTAATTTCCTTTTCTGTATCATAAAATATGTACAGCCATATAGCAACTGTTCTGTTTCTGTCACCAAAATTCTCTATAGGAGATTCACAACATAAGTCTTTTTTTTTTCTATTTTTTTTTAATCTTGTTCTGTCAAGAAATAGTAATGAAATCAGCCTGCTTATCTAATGGGAAAGCTATGGCATTTAAGATGTTAGCCAGACGAAATGTTGCTGAAAGTTTAGTAGCTGAAATACAAGATATGGGCCATACTAATTTCAAGTTTTTGTGAGGATGACAGAGTTCTGATGAAGATGGGATCTCCCAAATAAGGCTTTTTTATTCAAAGCAACTCTCGTTTTCTGTCAGTCTCCAGAGACCTGCATGTTCCAGAGAGGATACCAAAAAGCAGTCCATTAAACAGTTTAAAAAATAAAACAACAGAAAGAAGCAAAACCAAAAAACACCCCGCTTAAACATTGCTTACACTGCCCTAGAGAACCATCTCCTCCAGGATGTGTAGTCTAAACTTGTATTTTAAAATCATGAGGTCCAACAGGCAATTTTAAATGCCCTATGAAACACTTTTCTCTTTCATTGTGAAACTTCCAGAGACTGCTCAACACTGCAAGAAGGGCATTATCATCTAGTGTTTGCAGACAGGGCAACTAAGATTAAATGCCCAACACATTTCTGAAGTAGCAGCAAAGAACAGGCCCTGAATCGTTCCTTCAAGCTACCCCAACACTTTGACAAACAAATCTTTTTTTCCCCCTGCCTGAAGATTTTCTTCACTGTGAAATGCCTTTTTTTTTGTTTCCTAACTTTTTTTTTTTTTAAATTAGACAATTTTCTCCAGGTTTTTGTTTTCTGTTATCTTTATTATTTCAGAGATCCTCTCACAGTTTGGAAAAATAACAACTTTCCAGACTGCATTTATTCATTTCTGTTGAATAACCTTGACGTCTCAGTGCTTCCTTTTTGAATGGAAAAAAAAAAGTCATTACTTGTGCTTCCCCTTAACATCTACATTCCCACACTTAGTACAGAAACTCTTAATGTTATTTCTGGAAATTATACTAATTGTCACTAAATTCTATGGTTTGATTCGGGAAAATATGTCTAAAACAGGAAAGGAAAATAAAAAGACAGGGCAACATTAAAACACATAGTTAAACATTTACCTAAATTTGTAACAAGAAAGATATGTAAATACTGAAGTGGAAGGGTGATAAAACAGTAAAATTCATTGCATGAATCAATAATTTTCCCTTAAAAATAGTCTAAAGTCCTAATCACTTAAAAGATAATTTCCTTCAGTTTAAAACAATCTTAAGAAGGGTCAAAGATTTGTCCTGCAAGGTCTGACAGTCAATTTAAGTAGTCATGCATGCAAGTAATGACAGAAGCATCCCATCTTCCATGTTCCTCTGGTAGGACTAGAATTATATAATACAATTAAATAGTATTTAAACAAACTTAAAACAATAAGAGTTTTCTGCCCCAGACTATGTCCTGTTTCTTTTAGAGCTTTCAGAAGCCGTAGTGGTTCATAGCAGCGGGCAACAAAGAGTGACCTCTGAACAGCTGGTTCTGGGATTTAGACATGTAAATAATTTTTTTCTCTTCCAACTTGAAAATGAAGGCTACAGTTTGCTCTGCCACCACTCATGGGGTTTTGTCTGATGACACAGATGTAGAAGCTTTGAGAAAAATGGAAATGTTAGTTGCCAGAAGCAAAACCGTGAGCAAATCCTGGTAAGCGAGGTCTCTCATCCCGTTGCAGGTCACCATCTCCTTTCTGTCCCTTGCCTAGTGGCAGGGGCTGTTTCAGTGCTGCTGTTACATGCTGTGCTGGATCTCGAGCTGGCATTGTGACTTGCAATGTTTGTTCACATCACTACAGGCAAGAGAAGCCTTGAAGTACACAGCCTGCTAAATTCCGGTAAATACGCTGCTGCATATTTTAGAAGGAGCTCCTTACCACATGGTTCACAATTAGCGTGTCCATTTCAGCACTACAAAGATACCTAGGAAAAGAAAATGTGTGTGTAAGTACAAAAAAAGTATCAGAATAGAGCACTTAGACTGAATAATTGATACCATTTTATGTTTTGCAACCATATATTTTAATCATCAAAGATGACTAAGGCTACAAATTCATGTTTATTGACAAGGATACATTTCTTAAGTCACCATTTAAAATGGATTTTTATGGCTGGTCTTAATAACCAAGAGGCAAAATTATGTTGCACTACATGAACATACTGAAGATACAAGTTAAATTGCCAAAATTATTCTCTAACTCACATGGCAGAAAGGCAGTAGAACAGTTACTGAGGCAAAACAAAGAAAGAATTGTCCTATTCTCCCTGTATCTATCATTTTAAATATGAGTAAAACCACCAGTTAGTCTAAAAAAACAAAGTTAACAAATTTACCAGGCTTGCACCACACTAAAAGTTTGCATTATGAGTTTACATAACAAATGATCGTCACAGGTCTGATTCACAATGCTGATTTCAGCAAAAGTACTACCAGGAAACATGTTTTATACCAAAATATAACATTTTCTCACCTCATTTTTACCAGTGAGTACACTTCCTTCTGCTTCACATGGTTGTACTTCCCCTCACATTTTTTCATGTTCTTACATAATTATCAGACTACTAAAAAAAAAATTTAATCCAAATAATCCAGTTTCCTTTTAAGAACTTTTCCAGTAGTGCGCCTAATAGTATAAGCAGAAATAGAGTCAAAAACATTTTGCTCTCCTGAGGCATATAATAGCTACACACAAAAAATAGCTTCCTATAGCTTCCTATTCTACCACAGTTGCACCGTGAGGTTTACGTAACATTTAAAAAATAAGAAGATATTTCATGATTCCACAGTGCCTTGTGTTCCTGCATTGGCATGAGCTTATACTTTGTGCAAGTATAGCCTGACTATGCTTTCTAACCATACAGTGCCAGCTACTAAAGGAAGCAGTTTCAGTCTGTTCTAGCTTAATGTCACAGCCCAGATGTAAGCTACTGCTCCTTCAGAGCTGCCAGCCAAGCTGCTTTGGGCCACTTCCTTACACAGCTCCGCCAGGGTTTGTGTACCCAACTAATTTCAATAGGTAACTTGTCAAAGAGGGTAGGGATTGCTCTGGGAATGTAAATTCTGGTACCGAGAAAAGTGATCAGAAGCTTAGGGCAAGATGAAAATTGTAGTTGTAGATACCAAACATACAGTTAGAAGAAAACATTATCAAGAACAAAGTTAGACCTAATTTTATTTTACTATCATAGGGCTGTTTCACCAGTAGATGATTTTATATTTGAAAAGTGACTATTATCACTAAGGTAATTCCCAGCTACTAGTAGGAACTTTACATGCTGACTTAATATAGTGTAAAGTGACTTAACATCCAAATATGCCTCAGGATGATTTCAACAGCGACTATTTGAAAAGAATACCCCAAAGAAATCCACTAAAAAGGCCATTCTTTAAGCATCCCCAAAGAATTTCTGTCAGCAAAACACGGAAAATGTTAAGCAATAATAACTAAACTTCAGTAAAACAAAAAATAAACTCCTAATCTGTGGTTTCCTAACCTGAGCTGGATGCACAGGAATTCATAATTGAAAGATTTATTCAGAACTGAATATGTAAAACTCTTAAGAACAGTGTTAAATACCTTACAGGCCTCAACTCTCTCCTTTTTTTTGTTTTCATCACTCACTGGAAAAATACTCCATGTTTTTCAGTTTATTCCCTAATGTACTGATCAGGAAGAAATAAGTCTGCAGTGAATCTTTATTTTTGTCTTTTTTTTTTTTTTTTTTTTTTTTTTTTTTTTTTTTTTTTTTTGGTTGGTTGATTGNTTTCATCACTCACTGGAAAAATACTCCATGTTTTTCAGTTTATTCCCTAATGTACTGATCAGGAAGAAATAAGTCTGCAGTGAATCTTTATTTTTTTTTTTTTTTTTTTTTTTTTTTTTTTTTTTTTTTTTTTTTTTGGGCGGGGGGGAAGGGCGTTGGTTTTGGGTTTTTTTTTTAATTTTTGTTTTTTGTGAGTTTTTGTTGGTTGGTTGGTTGATTGAGTTTGGTTTTTTTGCAGGGGGTTTTTGTGATTGGTTGGGGTTTTTGGATTGGTTTGGATTTTTGTTTTCCCTAAAGTTGTGCTGTATATTGCTACCTATTTGGACCAGGCATGCTTTTATTTAGTACTCTCTATACCTTATTCACATCTGTCAACAGAAAAAGCACATCGCAGTCACACACCAAGGCACAAGTCACAAAACTCACAGAAAAAGTAAAAGAAATGATATTTATATGTCATTTTGATAGTCAAGGGAGAAGAAGTGTCCCAGTCCCTCTTTCTAAAAATAATGCTTCATACAGGTGTCATCTCTGTATTTTACTGGAGTTATCAAAAGAAAAAAAGTTGTCATTTATGGAAGTTGCTTCCTGCTATTGAAATAAAATGATGTGCTTTAAATCACAGTTCGGTTCTTCCATACCTTTCTTCCAAGAAAATCACGCTTACATGTAGGGAAATGGGAAAAAACAGTTTTATTAACCCACCACCAACCTCTACACAAATAGCACACAGAAACTCTCTTCTGGTCATCTATTCCTGTCAAAAAATTGATTTAAAGTATTTTCTATGTCTTAAAAAACACCCAACCAAACAAAAAGAGCAAAAAAGAACAAAATCAGTTACTCCTGCCACCCATAGCAATGATGAGCTGATAAAAAAATCTCACCATATTGTCTTGTCAGCCATACCTAATAGAGATGAAGAAGTCTCTAATTAGGGCATTAATTCCACACTGCAGTGCAGTTGCAATGCAAACTCCCATTTACTGACAGGTGCAATATGTGGGTGCAAATTTCTTGGCATCAGCAATCTACTCTTTTGCATTTACATTGCTAAGCAACATCATAGCATTGATTGACTTATGTACAGTACTACACTTTCACCTCTTAGGTACAGAAAGAAAAGATTGATTCCAATTTCGGTGCCACAGTTTTAAATAGATGCAGCACCAATGAATTAGGTGCACTCACTCCTAATTTACAGTCACGGAAGAAAAATAATTTTCTTGATTACCCTACTATTTAGAAAGCTCTAACTCTTTTGGATAGAATAAAGTTACACTGGTCTAAAATTCACATGACAGTCAGGGGCACAGTTACATATATTTCTCCACAAGAAGATGGCAGCTGTCCTCAAAGTGTAATGTGAGTTAACTAGGAAAAGGTGATTGACTGATGCTGAGGTTAATTGCTTGTTGGCATGCTAGAAAGCCTATGCTAACAAGTGCTGCTTATAACTAACAAGTGCCAATTATTTCCTTATATTCCAGTACATATTATATTATGCTAGGCACAATCCAAACATCCAGAAAGATCCAGACATCCCTGCTCAGATCTGGTAAGTTAATGATTTAAGAAAACTGTGCAAGTTTCTGATGAAAATGGGTCAGTGCATGTTGCTTATCACAAATGTACAGCTCTTCATATAATGCTACGACACAGAAAAATTTTCTTGAAGCTATCAATGTACTGAACAAATATTCATAATGAAAGTATAAATAATTGTCTGGTCATAAACTTTATTTTTGCTGTTGCTGATCGAAAGCTTACACTAACAGACAGTGCTTACTATGCCATTATTAGAAGCCTGTAAAATCTTAAAAATATCCTGTATCCACATTTTTGTGGAAAAAAAATTATATACATAATTGATGACCAACTGCACACACAAGCTTGACAAAACTTCCCATTTAATAGGTAGATTGTTATGTAAAATATTGCCTAATATTTGTATAATGCATTCACCTGGCTTGAAAAAATGCTGACAGAACTAGAATGCATAGTATCATCCATTGTTAAATTGATATTGTTATTGATATATTGTTGCTAAAGCATTGGTAAACAACAATTTTAATTGCATTAATAAAATATGAATTATGAAAGTAGGAGTGTAGTGACTAGTACAGATTTTCCCTATGATAATAATGATTTAAAATAAGATTAAAAAGTAGCATCTCCTCAAGAAAGAGGAAGTTAAGGTACCAAAAATTATAGTGCAAAGCCAAGCTACCCCACACCTCCTCCTAGACAAGTCATCTACCTTGTATCAGTCAGAATAAAACAGGAAAGTTTATATGAGTAGAAAACTTACCAGACTTTCTTTGCAAGAAATCGTGCAGTGTTTGGTAGAACTGCATGCTTTGTCTACTACTCCTTTCCTAATTTCAATCTAAACCTATGTAATGGCATCACAATGTAGTCACAAACCTGAAAGCCTTTGGAAATGCATTAATTGTGAACATTGGGGATTTTAACACCTTCTTCTAACTGTTTAGATGCAGAAAGTGTCAAATATGTTGGTAAGCAGTTGAAAAAGGTAAGAAATGACTAAGTTGTGGTTTGATCTCTCCTAGTCCTGCAGTACAGGGAACATTTCAGCACAATGCTCTCTCAAAAATTCAAAATAAAGCAACAAAACCGTAACTGTATGGCTTTTTAGGTAAGCATGGGAGCTCAGCACAGGGTTGGGTGAGGTGACCATAAAAATGAAAATATTTAAGAAAATCTAAGAACATTAAAATTGTATTTGCAAATATAGCGTTGGTATTCTTAGACTGTTATAGAATAGATATGTACATTTCTGTACCCATCAAACACTTAATAAAAAATAACTCCTCTAGGCAATTTGCAAACTATGGTTTCATCTAGATATATGTCAGTGTAAATCAGGAACCTTCAGTTCTCAGTTTTTCTAAACAAGTATGCCATAATCTTTCCTAGCCCTCTTTCCGTCAGACCCTCATAAATCTACCACATTGCTCTCTCCTCTGAATGCAGGCAAATTCACAAATATTTTAAAGGTATAGTGAAATACACATATAGTAAGTCCATCATCCTAGGAGGAGTTAGTAATTTCCTTCACCTGCAGTATATATTTCATTTTAACACATCTTTAATAGACACCAACTAATCATGTTTAAAGGCTACCTCTTTATTAT